TGGAAGAATACTGGAACTTGGTATGGAGTTGTGTATACAAAATGTATCAATTGCTCATGGAAAAAATGTGAGTTATTAAAAAAGGAGGTATGCTGCCTCCCATACATACTAAAAACTTCTTAATACATATCTCTGGAAGGATAGAAAATCTCTGGAAGTATTTTAAATTTGTTATGGAGATTTATTTTATAAGCGCCGTACTGACAGAAAAAAATTAATTTAATGGAAAAGGGAGAGCCGGGTTCGCCCTTATAATCTTAAGCTCTCTTGAGGCATTTGCTACAATAATGAGAAGTGGTATTTTATCAAGGCCAGGTTACTAAAATTGAGTTGGAAATATGTATTAGAACTCGCCGTGGCACCTCCAAGAAGGTTACACGTTCACTTGTCGTATCCCTGGAACCATTTTAAAGTAAACTTAGAGGAATTGATATCTTTCGTATGCCTAGCGCGCAGACGAGATTTTATAATTTCATAGTGTGAAACAACCTAAATACCTTAACTCGCTTAGAAAATAACGAGCTATAACGAAATGGGCACAGAAATAAAATATAACATCATTAAATTATTTTTTATATTTGTATAAAAACGTGGGGTGAAACCCGCAGGTATAAGCTAGTTTCATATAAAAGGGAAATGTTTCGACAAGCTTGATTGGAAATGTAGATCTAAGGTGACGAATTTATAACAGGTTGGGAACTATAAAAAATGGATGCAGATCGAACTAGATCTCATCTGTCGAATTAGGAACTGGTTCGGAACTATAGAAAAAGGGATGCAAAACGACCTAGATCTTATCTGTCGAATTTAGAACTGGTTCGGAACTAGAGCCAAAGGGATGCAACGGGGGACAATTGACACTTCCTAGGACATCGCAATGTTAAATTCGCCAGTCGCTAGCATGCAAAAGAGAATTAACGCGTACTAGTCATGGTTCCAAACGCACTAGAACCGAATCAGTTCCGCACTAGTTCGTTTCCCTACAGGGTAATAGTTGTGAATTACTGAGAAGGCGCTGACGGTGAATATTTTTCGGCAGACCGCTCAAGCTAGGTAATCTGACAGCCGTACTTTTGGATACTTCAGCGGTAATCTCATGTAGTAATAGCATGTAGTGATTCATCGCTCGCTGATGTACGTTTCTTAAGTTTATTGTCGGTTTTTCTGACATTAACCTTTGCATCATTTGATATATCCTCACGATTGCCAACAGGAAATGTTCCTGTAGAACAAATTGTATTTATTTTATTTCATTTAATTTGATAGACAACTATTTTACCAGCTGGAACGGCAGACTTTGTGTGGGCAAGAACATTGCAGTTTCTTGATTTGTAATTCACACAACGCCAAGTGACAGTCTTCTTAAATCATTTTCACGATGCTTATTAAACAAGTATCACCTGTAGGTATAACAACAAATTATGGTCCTTCTGGCTGAAAATTAAATTCAAAGGCATTACGCAGAGTCGGATTTGTACCACACACCAAATGGACGGCTACTGAAGTCAATCGAACAGTAATTAGAAATAATAGCTCCCCGTTCCTTAAATATCAATCACAAACCAAGACCAATACTTACATTCACAACAAGTCGCTATTAATATCAAAAAATTCCAAAAGTTTTGCTTATTTTGTCTAATCGAAAAATTCACCAAGCTTTGATCAATACATACCCCCATATCGCTAGCTTAGAGTGAAAAGTTGCTAACACCCCTATTCTGCAACTCTTTCGTATTCGGATTTTGCAACGAATCGTAGAAATGGTATGCTGCAATCCGAATCGTTTTTTCGAACTTTCGAAATTCGTAACAATGGCATGCCTAAAAACGAACGAGTAAAAAATTGACAACTTTTTTGCGTAATTTTGTACGAAAACCATTCTGTGTCCGAAGCGAGATAAAAGATTTAAATCGGTGTGTGTTTGCAGGTAATATTAGTGGTGTTCATTTACAGATAAATTTGCCTTTCACATATACTTATATTTTTATCCACTGCTTTATATAAACGAACAAAAAAGAAGATTTGTTGCCCCTTATCGAGAAACTTGTGTCCGTTTTACTTATTTGTACAATGATTTTCGGTTGTTGTGTCCAAACGCATAACCCGAATCCAAAAACTTTAAACGCACGTGTAATCAAAGGATTACACTTTTATCTAAAACAAATGTGTCAAATTTTTGAGCACCAGTTTATTATTGGAGTGCAATGGGGTATAGTCGTTGCGCTGGGTATGCAGTTACAGTTGCATGGCTATACTCAATCCCGACTCTTGCGTGCTCGTTCGCGTACTCTGGGCAACGTGAGCAACCCATGTGCGAGATGCGGTAACCAATCCGAGTGGAGCCTGGGGTCGCGGCAGAAAGAGAGGGAGCTTCGGTGGGGCCATTCCGACTTATTCGGTTTAAGGACTCACTGAAGTCTGCAGCGTCTGTTCACCAGTAGGTGCGGCTGCAAGCGGGTGTCTGCTTGGAGCAAGCGGCTCGCTATATAAACGTGTATTTGGTTGCGAAAGCACACCCGTCCCAGCAATGGGTTGTGCGCTAGGCTTGGGACCTGCCACGTAAAAACCACTTCCAGTGAAGAAGCAAGGTAAAGCCTCGGATGAGACCCCCCCTTATGATGACGACCACGGCAAACGTTTAAAGGACTACGATTTGAGGGCATGCAACTGGAATGTCCGGACCCTTAATGGGGAAGGTGCCTCTGCCCGGCTGGTTGATGTCCTCGTAAGGACAAAAGTTGACATCACCGCCATCCAAGAAATGCGTTGGACGGGGCAAGGCAAGCAATGTCTGGAGCCTTGCGACGTCTACTACAGCTGCCATGTAAAGGAGCGCAAATTCGGAGTTGGATTTGTGGTGGGAGAGAGACTCCGTCGCCGAGTACTTTCGTTCACCCCGGTGGACGAGCGTCTAGCCACAATCCGCATCAACGCGAGATTCTTCAACATCTCGCTTATCTGCGCCCATGCCCCGACGGAAGAGAAGGATGAGGTATCGAAGGATCTCTTCTATGAGCGCTCGGAGCGCACGTACGAGTGCTGCCCCGTCATGATATCAAAATGGTGCTTGGCGACTTCAATGCCAGGGTGGGCAAGGAAGGGATCTTTGGAACCACCGTCGGAAAATTCAGCCTCTACGACGAAACGTCAGACAACGGATTGAGGCTGATCGACTTCGCCGGGGCCCGAAACATGGTAGTATGCAGTACTAGGTTCAAGCATAAAAAGATCCATCAAGCTACGTGGCTGTCTCCGGATCGAAAAACGAGAAACCAAATCTATCATGTTGTGGTAGACGGAAGGCACGCTTCCAGTTTTTTAGACGTACGCACACTCCGCGGCCCAAACATCGACTCGGACCACTATCTTGTTGCAGCCAAGATACGCACCCGCCTCTGTGTAGCAAAAAATGTGCGCCCAAATATGCAAGGAAAGCTTAACGTCGAAAAGCTCCAATCACAACAGACAGCCAGCGTACTGGACTCTCACACCTGCTCTCAGATAGCACTCTTCACCAAGCCGACATATGCGAGCAGTGGAACCACGTTTCCATCTGAAGAGGGAAGCGAGACGTATTTGCCGCAATAAGAAGAGAGAGGCCGAAATACGCGAGTGCGAAGAGCTTGAAATGCTGGCCGACAGGAAGAATGCCCGACAATTTTACCAGAGAGTTAGGCCACTTACGGAAGGTTTAAAGACCGGGGCGTACTCCTGTAAGAACAATAATGGCGACCTAGTAACTGATGTCCAGAGCGTACTTAAATTATAGAGGGAACACTTTTCCGCCCTACTAAATGGTAGCAGCACGGAAAGTTGCGGAGAAGAAGAACGCGAGCCCGCAGTCGATGATGACGGAGTCGACGTTCCACCGCCTGACTATGAAGAGGTACGTATAGCAATAACGCGGCTGAAAAACAACAAAGCCGCTGGAGCTGACAGCCTGCCAGCTGAGCTATTCAAGTACGGCGGCGAGGAGTTGATAAGGTGCATGCATCAACTCTTGTGCAGAAAATAGTCAGATGAACGCATGCCCGACGACTGGTATTTAAGTGTGCTCTGCCCAATCCACAAGAAAGGTGACCCCGCCATTCGCGTCAACTACCGCGGGATAAGCCTTCTAGCATAGGTTACAAGGTCTTATCGAGCGTATTGTGTGAAAGACTGAAGCCCACCGTCAATGAACTGATTGGGCCTTATCAGTGTGGCTTTAGACCTGGAAAATCCACCATAGTCCAGGTATTCACAATACGCCAAATCTTGGAAAAGACCCGCGAGAAAAGGATCGACACTCACCACCTATTTGTCGACTTTAAAGCCGCTTTTGACAGCACTAAAAGGAGTTGCCTATACGCCGCTATGTCTGAATTTGGCATCCCCTCAAAACTCATACGGCTGTGTAAAATGACGTTCAGCAATACCACCAGCTCCGTCAGAATTGGGAAAGACTTCTCCGAGCCGTTCGCCACAAAAAGGGGTTTCAGACAGGGCGACTCCCTTTCATGTGACTTCTTTAATCTGATGTTGGAGAAGATAATAAGAGCTGCAGAACTGAACCGCTACGGAACAATTTACTACAAGAGCGTGCGATTGCTGGCTTATGCCGACGACATCGACATCATCGGTATTAAAAACCGCGAAGTCTGTTCTGCCTTTTCCAAGTTGGATAGGGAAGCAAAGCGAATGGGTCTGGTGGTAAACGAGGACAAGACGAAGTATCTCCTGTCATCAAACAAACAGTCAGCACATTCGCGCCTTGGCACCCACGTGACTGTTGACAGTTACAATTTCGAGAAAGTAGAGAATTTCGTTTACTTGGGAACCAGCATTAACACCGATAATAATGTCAACATTGAAATCCAACGCAGAATCACTCTTGCCAACAAGTGCTACTTTGTAGAGGTCGGAAAATATCAATAGTGAGCACCATCGATAGTGACCGATAGTTTTTGTCATACTATCGATAGTTTTCGATAGTGGAAAGAAATAAAAACAGAAATATATAACGTGAAATTATGCAAGCAACCAATCATTTTTATTTAAAAATATTATCATATCCACATGCTTTGGCTTTAGCCTAGATCTACGATCCGTTGTTATTAGGCCAGCTTTGCTAAATATTCTTTCTGAGTCCACCGACGTTGCTGGGGTGCAAAAATATTTTGGTAGGACGTTCTTCAGTGGATTTAGGACATCAGTTGAAACCTGTGGAAAAAAAACTAAGTATAAAATGCGAAATTGAATTGCTGCATGAGATATGCTTACCTTCCAAGCAAGAAGTGGATCAGTATCCTTTGATACATTTTGTTGTTCAAAATATTGTCGTAGTGTAATAATTGCATCTGCTCGACTCGATACTCTTTTTCCTTCCAGTCTCTTTTCCACAAAATCAAAAAAGGAAGATTCGTCCTGCCGGTTTTTTTGTACTTCAGTAAATTTGTCGTTTCTCTGATCCTTTTCAATTAACGCTGCAATTTCTTGCTCAAGATTTTTGCTAGCTTCATTGGCATTTGTGGTTGAATGGAAACCCTCTTTCTTGAAACGAGGGTCTAATATCGTTCCCATTCTTGTTATTATTCGCAACTCATAAGGCGCTAAACGTTTGCGAACGGAGGCTACCAAAATCGAGCAGAGTGCACTAGCCTCTGATGTTGTTAAACTCCCTTGCATTGTATTAAGTTTTTCGAATATTCCAAAGGACATTGGGATTATTAGAGAGATAGTAACGTAATTAACTCCGGAAATCTGTAAAAATGACAAGACGTGATTTAACAATACCCAACATTAATTTATGTGGCTTTTAAAATAACTTGCAATAAATTAGTTTTTATAAGTATTTAATAAGTGTAATATCAAACTTATTTTAACTTTTCCACACAAAAGTAAACATTTCACAAGTATTGCCAGCGCATATTTAAAATTATTCTTACAGTGTGATGCAAATGTTTACGAAAACACTTATAATTAAGGGTATGAATATATATTGCATCTAATTAAAAATAATCTCTCATTTATAAATAAACACACCTGTTCAGTTGCGTCTTGAAAAAGTTTTAGCAAATCGACGCCCTCACGTAAAACATTGATTTCATAGGCGGACAGTGGTACTGCAACCTTCACTGTTGACAATAGAACTTGCGATATTGCATCAATTGTTTCTATGATTCTCTTAAACATAAAGTAGGTGCTATTCCATCTAGTTTGAACTTCTTGCAATAAGCTATAAGGGCAATTTCTTTTCTGCTCGATTTTAAATTTTTCATATGAGCTAGAATCAGTGTTGGCACTAATCGATTGATTTTTTAATCAATTAGTTAATTTGATTAAATTCAATCGAATTACAGTTAATCATGATTTAGTTTAATCTGATTAAATAGTTAATCGTAACCGTGATTAAAAAAAATAATTTTTAATCATTAACCCTTAATTTGATTAAGTAGGTTTGGTGATTAATTAATTTATGCTGGAATTGTCTTCTGCACACAAGATCAGTTAACCGGGTATGGCTAAGTCGGTTTCCCTCATCAATCTAAGCAATTTGGTATGCATTTTGATTGCGATCTATTACCAGTAGACGTTATGAAAACTAGGTTTTATATCTCTCTGCACATGTGCCATGGGTTGTCAAACTTCCCAGTTTATGTTATACAAATTATAATTATTATTTGTTTATATAAGTATTATGTGTTTTTCATAAGCGTCAAACAGAAAAGAATAACCGTATATGTGACCTGGTCTACGGAAAGGGGGCTTAGGTGTCAAAATATCAATTTTCACTTTTTGGTTGATTCGGATGGAAGATGAGATGCTTTTTCACGTGGTGAAAAGCAGAAAATCCTAACTTGCTTAGAAGTGTACTAAAAATAATAATAATATTAATAATAATAATAATAATATTAATAATAATAA